CCTCCTCCCCCAGGGCAATGTTCCGCAGGGCCCACGCGGATGCTCAGTGGAATTGGAATTCACTGTGCGTGGCTGATGGGTTCCTTTTCTTTCAAAAACTGCTCTCTTTCTTTCCCTTCGTTGGTTTTTTTTTGAGTGCCCAACCTTACTGACATACGATAGCACCGGCGTCTGAGCTGTTTCTGAATGTCTCTTAACAGACCTGTTGTTTTGCATACATCTGCTTCCACCGGGTGCGCTGACGTGCCTCCAAGCTGACCCTTTTTTGAGATGATTAATTACCAATAGACTTGGCAAAATCAGATGGAATAACCCTTCTCCCCCCACCCCACCCCTGCAAAGTCGCTGCTGTCAGAAAGGTTTCAGTCTCCATGCTTGAGTTGTCTTTGACTCTACTCTGTGATGTTTGCTGCAGCCTTCTTTCTCCTCCTCCTCCTCCCCTCTCCCCCGTCAGCAGCACCAGCGCTGCCACGCCATGAGGTGCTCACTGCCTCCGTCTCTCTCCGCCATTGTGTCTCATTCAGAGAGCGGGCTTGAGGGAGGGCACCGAGGAGAAAGCTAAGCCGCCTCGGCACAGGGCTCCCGAGAGTGACACCGGCGATGAGGAGCAGGACCAGGAGAAGGACTCGGTCTTTCTGAAGGACAACCACCTGGCCATCGAGCGCAAGTGCTCCAGCATCACCGTCAGTTCAACCTCCAGCCTGGAAGCAGAGGTGGACTTCACAGTGATCGGTGACTTCCATGGCACAGCCTTTGAGGACATCTCCCGGAGCCTGCCCGAGCTGGACAAGGACAAGAGCGAAACGGAAGACGAAGGCCTGGTTTCCTTCCAGCACACTGACAAAGTAGTTCCCAGACTGGAAGAGGATGTCAAAGGCGGGGAGAAGGTCTCCCAGCCCAGCCCAGATGTCTCCCAGCTAGAGGTACACAGGGACGCCATTCCACCGAGACTGTCTCAGTGCCATCATGCCTCCATGTTCCTTGTCCTGGTGCCCGGTATTGCCTTGCTGGTGTGCACTCCCACGTTGGTTTGGAAGGGCATGCTAGCTTTCAAACATCCCCAGGTTCCTGTCCGGTGTAGCTGTTTTCCCCCGATGCATGCTGTCGTCTGTGTTGCATGGCTCTGTCCTGTGTTTTGTGCATCTGCTAACCAGGAGAAGTTGTCGTCATCTCTTAATCCCCCACGTTTGGCTGCCTACCCTGCCCCTCGCACCACTACAGCATGGCAGCAGCTGGGGAGGGCACGTGTCGCTAACCAATGGCTCTGTCCTTGTGTTTTGCGTGAAGTCAGAGACCAGTTTGTGTAGTGAAGAGAAGTGTGCTGCCAACTAACCTCTGGTCATGCCGGGACTGGGAGGGATTTGCAGAATAGCTTGTGGGAGCCGCACCAAAGCTCGTGGAGGGTCACTCCTGTGCCAGGGGTGATTGTAACGGGGCTAAGAAAAATGCATGCGGCATGCGTGTGGAAGTCGAGTGTATGCCACAGGGAGAGAACTGTAGAGCCAGACCCAGCTGGGACGAAACGTAGCCTTGCCTCTGCGCTGGGCCAGGGCCATCTCCCGCCCGGTCAGCGCCGGGGCAGCCCTCCAGCCTGGCAGGTAAGTCCCCAACACTGCCTGGAGCTGCCAGGGTGAGTCCAGACTGGACCCAGGAAAAAGCTGCAGAATTAGCGGGAGCTTTCTCTGAGCCAGCCTGGAAACCCTTGTGCGGAACATCCGATGCCATGGGCTGCAGGGTCAGGGGCCGTGGGCATGGGTGATCAACTCCGTGGTGCCCCATAGCCGGCGCTGGGCAGGGGAGGCCGTTGGCTCGGGAATGCTGAGCGCTGGCTAAGCATCCCCTGTGCAGGAGCCCTTGGCAGCTCCAGATTCCTGTAGCGGGGGAGTGCTGGAAACCTGTCTCCATTCCCCCGAGGTTCTGACACCCCAGATGTAACCACAGCCGCCGGGAGCTGGTGCAGACCATAAACCTGCTGCGGGCACGAGTGAAATGGATTTGGTGGGTCTCACCCACCTTATGCAAACCAGTTTGACCTAACCCGTGGTGTCTATAAATCCATCCAAAAAATCCCTGAAACCCCCAGGGACAAAGTGTCAGGTCTGATTTGGGGTGTGTCAGTCACACAGGGCACTTTGCACGTGGCCGTCTGCCCAGGGCAGCAGCCTGGCCTCTGCTCTTTGCCCAGGTAGGGCTCGGTGTGACACTTGCAGGACGTCACACGTGTGTGGCACTTGCAGAGGAGTGGGGCAGGGATGCTCTGCTCCTGGGGGCTGGTGCACAAGGAGCACTCGGGGCTGTTGGCATCGTGCCCCGGTGCCTGACTTGCTGTGTTTCTTCTGCAGTCATCAGCTCCGAAAACAGATGCTGTGACCGTTGGCCTGGGGCTGGGCATGAAGAAGCCTGAAGCAGACGGCTCTGCTCCCCACCGGGTCGGCACCACAGACACAGCCCAGGTGACATGGTGGCTCCATCCTCCTGTGGCCCTGTCCCCAATGGCTCTGCCTAGCCTCAGTCCAGCAAAACCTGTCCCCAGACAGCAGCGCTGGGAGGGCAGGCGGCTGAGTGGGGTGGTCGGGGGCCTCTGCTCACCCTTGTCTTGCTGGAGTCCCCAAAACATCAAACCAATGCCCACCCAGAGATATTCTGTGTGCGTCCCTGGCCCCATCTGC